GAAGGTATTGAATGTCCTACAGTATTTAAACTAACAGTCACACATTTTTATGTGTGCATTCCACCCCCCCCCCCATATTATTACCCTGTAATTTATAGTGCAGTACAGTATTTACTCTAGTGTTTTATTGACTTAAGTGATTGAAAAAGGTAAACAATACTGGCTAATGTGAATAAGTTACCATAGAAATTATTTCGTGAAAACAATAGAGTACATACCTCTTTGAGACTAAAAAGTAACTAGTAATTGTCTCAAATTGTCATATATATGTTAATTTTAGGCTGGTGTGTCAAAGTTAGAAGAGGCTAAAAGAACAGTAGCCGAGCTAAAAACAAAAGCTAATGAGCAGAGTAAGCTGCTAGCTGTGAAGCAAGCAGAGGCTGATGCTGCCCTGGAGCAGATTGAACGCAATATGCAGGTAAGAGGGCGTATGCCTGGAAAGATTAGGAAGTGTCTCCTGCTACATTGCTTCCGTTCGAATGCCCACCTGTGCAAGATTAATATATTTATGGTGTTATATCCATGTAAGAAAAACTGACAGTGCAGAAGGTTGTAGCACTTCCATAGTATTTACCATGGGTCTTTGTGCTTACTTACAAGGCAGGGCTTATTTATAACTTTTTATAACTATCACTTATTACTTATCTTCTTTGTCTGCTTATAAATATATGGTACCGGCACACATATAGTTTGATTTCACTCTATTGAAGAAAACAGTAATCTTAGTAGGATTATCTCAGGAAGTCCTTTTGACATTTAGCAGGCTTTCTGTGTAACATTTTGTCTTCTGTGAATCAAGGTTTAGTCAGCTGACTTGAATTTAATTTATTTACTGACAGCTCAATAATTCACTTTTTTTATCATTATAATCAGAGTACCGGTGAGCAAAGAAAGGAGATAGAAACACTGCAGAGCAAGGCGGCAGAAGAGAACAAAAAACTGGAAAAGAGAAAGATAACCATTGAGAAGGAGTTAGCAGAGATTGAGCCAAGAGTGAGGGAAGCAAAGCAAGCGGTTGGTAGCATTAAACCAGAGAGTCTCTCAGAAATCAGGGCTTTGAGAGCACCACCTGAAGTGATAAGGGACATTCTTGAGGGTGTGCTCCGTCTTATGGGTACTTTCGATACGTCTTGGGTGAGCATGAAAAGGTATGTATTCTTGTTTTTTTTCAGTTAAAGGGACATTTTCGAATGTTAACATACTTCATGATCAACTATTCATCCATCTATTACTAATGCAAAAGTTAACATTCTTATCTTCCCATCTTATGAATTGCTGAGATACTGTACATAATATTTACCTGTATGCTTTTTTTGGGCGACTCAGTGGCTGAGTGATAAGGCAGGGGCGCTGTTAATGACAGCCGTAACATCGACGCTGGTTTGAACTGCTCCTCTCCCAGGGTTTTGTTGGTAGAATCAATTCTTCTTGGATAAGGATAGAAGTTCCAGTATATACAGCTGGCTCGTGTTCACCCACTGCATCTTTCAGAATAGTAGCTGGTTACCCCGATGCTGTAGTTCATTTTAGCACCTGTCATTGTGGAATTATGTGATTAACAAAGCGCCTCTCTACGCAATCAGCACAACGACGGCTGCCAGTTATGGGCTATTCTCCTACCTTTAACTGTTCTATCAAAAAACATTTAAAAAAAGAACTTACAAGTTTTCTTGTCCATATACCATGTCATGCTATTTACATTTTGTGTTTGAATATGTTGCAGTTTTCTTGCAAAGCGAGGTGTAAAGGAAGATATATCCACATTTGATGCAAGGAAGATCTCTCCAGAGATCCGTGAGAGTGTAGAAAAACTACTGCGCAAAGACTCATTCTCACAAGAAGTAAGTCTTCAGACCCTTATTCTCGTAAAGTATGGAGTCTCACTCTTACGATACTATTACTAATTTTCCCATCATTCTCACATACAAAAAATTCTTGCATGAAATTCTCATATACATCTCTCAACATTTTTTACTTAACATCACGTATATTATTCTCAGTAACATTGTCGCATAAGATTCTCACTTACATTTTCTCATAATATACTGACATCACATAGTATTCACACAGCCTTCACGAACACATGTAACATTTTAATAGTAGATTTTAATTCTTCAATCAATTTTTTTACAGAAAGCTAGGCGTGCAAGTGCCGTTGCTTTGCCACTAGCAATTTGGGTTAAAGCTAATGTAATGTACTCACATGCCCTAGAGAAGATTGCCCCTCTTGAAAAAAAACAAGCAGAACTTCAGAGGTAAGATAGTTCAAAGGTCATTTCAAATTAGAGTGGCTGTAGTTTGATCGGTATGAACAAATTGACATATGAATAAATGCATTATTAAATCCTTTGTTTATCTTAAAATTTAGAAATCTACAAAAAGCTATCAGTCGAGTTGAAAAGCTACAGAAGGGTTTGGAAGATGTTGACAGAAAGGTTGCTGACCTGAAGAGAACCTTCCAGCAGAAGACGAATGAAGCAGCTAAGCTGAAAATGGATTTGGAGAAGGCGCAGGAGACGATAAGTGCAGCAGAGAACCTGGTTGGTAAGCTGGATGGAGAGTATCAAAGGTGGAGTGAACAGGTGAGAGGATGTTGCCTACATGCCCCCTAGATTGCATCTGCATACCATTTGCATGCTTCCTGCAAGCCACCTGCATACCACCTGCACATCACATGCACACCACCTGCAAACCATCAGTAAACCACATGCAAACCATCTGCATATACTTGTATATCACTTTTAAACAATCTGCATACCACTTGTAATCCACATGCAAACCACCTGCATACCACATGTAAACCACACAACACAACCATCTGTAGGCCACATGCATATCACCTGCAAATTCATGCATATTACCTGCAAACAATCTGTACACCATTGGCATGCAAACAACTTTACCTATAAAAAAATCAAACATAATCATGTATTTACAGGTGAAAGAACTTGAAACTGAACTTGAGACGCTTCCCAAGAAAGCTCAAATCGCTGCTGGTTACACTACGTACTTATCAGCCGCTCCAGAGGACGAGCGCCGTGCCACACTCACGTCGTGGCTGGAGAAGGTTGACCTCCAAGGTTTTGACATGCGTCGGTTCTTGAGCACAGAAAGTGAGCAGTTGATATGGAAAGGAGAAGGACTTCCAAGCGATAACCTGTCCATGGAGAATGCTGTCATTGTTCTACAGGTCGGTATTTCATTAATTTCTTTGGATTCAATTATAAATTTTTTACTTTATATTGTAGTGAATTTGAATTCTATATGAACAGTAAGAACATTTAGATCCTTGTATTTCTGATTAAATCTTTATAGCAATTTAAGCTCATGAATTTAAGTTGTATGATATTGCAACAACAGGAAACCACACTTGGGAGTGCATGATTCTTGGTTCATATATGACCACATTAAACATTTATTTATTTATAATAATATGTTTGTGACTATGACATGACACAGTAGCTTACCTTAATGCATGTGCCTACGGATATTCATTATCTAATTTGCATAACTGACACAATTAATCAGCATGACTTTAAATATTAATTTATACATACAGTACATACATACACACATTATTTGTACATCATTTATCATTTCAAACCTTGGAAAATTAAATGAATATTTGATCATATGTGGCTGTCAATCAATCAATCATTCAATCAATTAATCAATCATTCAAAAAGTGAATCATTTAACCAATTGGTCAATCATTCAACCAATTTACCATCAGTCAATCAATCAATCAACCAATTAACAGCCAATCAATCAATCATCAATCAATCAATCAAGCAATTATTCATTTGATATATTTTTAAAAAAAAGAGTGTAATATTTTCGCCTTCAGCTGGCATGGACCAATGAGAATGATGTAAATGGTGTGAACAGAATGATGCCAGGCAAACATCTTCCACAGTTTAATGTAAACCAATAAATATTTGATATTGATGATTTTAAGTTATCTTATTTTAACAACAATTTGTTAATTACTATTAATATTTTACAGTTTATTTCAGAGAGCTTCAATATTCTTAAACAACTTTAGCATTAATTAAATTTCAGGTTTTTAATTTTGATTCTAAGTCAGTAAAATTGTTTGAAGATAGTTGAATTTTCTGTTTCAATAGAAAACAAATAATTTTGTTTGTGTTTTTGTTTCTGATATTTACAATTTTCTATTTATTCAGGTTTTTTTTATTTATACTAATATGATTTTCTTTTAAACCATTCTATTGTCAAAAATTAATTGAATGAATTGTTTTAAATTATTTTTTATTAACCATTTTGTTGCTTTTTACATGTGTTACATTATTCCAACCATTGCATGCCTACTGTTGATGATTTTCTTACTGATGGCCGCCTGTTTTTCTGTTATCAACAACTTTACCTAATTTAATGTGTCCACGATTAGATCAATGATCTAGCTGTAGGGGTAAGATAAATGTTTGGTTGGCGTGTTTGTGTGGTGGTAGTTGTAGACCTTTTATGGCCAAACATTATGAATTACCTGGACAAACTAACAATTATTAACAAAGTTACATGAATAAACACCCTAAAAAACATAATAGAACAGTCCTTCCAGCTTGCTGTAACACACTTGCAACATGCAAGTCATCCCCATTTCCTATTCGCTGTAAAAACACAAAGTATCAATTACCTCACTAGTTCAACCCATCCTAGAAGTGTTTGTTGCATGGTGTTAGAGCCCTGTTACATTGTTTGCTGAGAGGACAGTTCTAATTTCTTCTGAGGGGTGTTTTATGTAGTATTGACAATTTTCTGTTTATCCAGTTAATTATTTGATTTCATTAGGCACAACATCGATGATATGTCTGCTTAGAACAAATAATTTTCATGATACACTAACATTGGTATTACCAGGGTTGTAGCTGTAGCAAACTAAGGGTGGGTGGTAACATTGGTAAACACTAAATAATAAGAATGGATTTTAAGGATGGAAAAGTGGGTTAATAAGGGTGGGTGGAGGGCCATGAAATTAGCTTTAGACTGGGTGGAAAACTGGTAGGCTGGGTGGCCCCCGCCTACCTCTGCCCACCATACTACATAACTTTATTACAGTTCCATTTGCAACAATATTGATTGTTAATTTCAAATTTGTTTTCAAGACCCACACCAAAATTTTCTTTATTTTTTATTATAAAAATTCACTTTTGTAGCAACTATATTTGTGAAAAATGATGTCAAAGTTCTTACACAAAAATATATTGATTTTATGCTGATGTAAATTTATGTATATAATACATTTTAACAATTTGAATGCTTTAATATTTGTGTGGTTTTACTAATAATGCCTATAATTGCTAACTTGTTACTTGCCACTATTCATAATATGCACTATTACACATCGTAATGCACTGTTTTGGATCAATTATTTCTGTAAAAAATGTCTAAAATTCATTTAGTAATAACATTTTCTAAATTCAAAAAAGGTTAATTAAACAAAAAACTATATTAATAAAATAAATGTCTGATGGTAATAACAATATTTATATTATTTATTATTAAGTGATAACCTTTATGTGACTATTGAAATGATGATTTTAAGTGTTAATAACAATAAGATGATGATAACGATGATGATAATTAAATAATATAGTAGTAATCAATTAGTGCACCCTCCAAATCGAGGCACCTAATTCCGAGACCACTTTTTTCAAAGAATAACAATCTTCAATGTATTAACACTAAGCTAACCTAGAGACCACTTCAGATTTTCAGGTCTCGAATTGGAGGGTGAACTGTATTTAATATTATTAAAGTAATAATGATATTGTGAAAGCATTTTCTAAATAAATGATACACTCAATCATTCAAATGAAATTTATCCTTTCCAAAATTCACATTGTTTTTGTAATTGTTAACTTTAGAACTCTCTACGTCCATTCCTTGTGGATCCATCCTCAAGGGCGACTGAATGGCTAAAAACTCACCTGACAGAACAAAGATTGGAAGTCATCAATCAACAGGTGAGATATATATTTGTGTGCATATAGATATAGGCTAGAAAACAACAATTCTTTGGGAAACAATGGCTGCATCTCAGTTGAGGTACTAATTGATAAAAAGAAAGCTGCTAACATGTAAACATTAATGATGTAGAAATCAAACATTCTCGTAGCATATTTTTTTTTAATTCATTTTTAAACAGGATGCAAATTTCAGTACTGCATTGGAGCTTGCGGTAAGATTCGGCAAGACACTAATCATACAGGAAATAGACAAGGTTGAGCCGATGCTGTACCCGTTACTACGAGGCGACCTCATCAGCCAAGGTATCAACCATTACAATGGCAAATTTAATAATAATAATATACTTTATTTTAAAACTTTTAATTACCCATGGGTGTTTTTATCAAGGGTGTGAAAGGCCATACCTATATGAAACAAAATTATTGAAAACATAATGAATTAAAGAAAACTACAAAAACACAGCATCTGAACCACCAGTGAAAACATCCCCATTGGACACTATCCCCCTTCTCGCTTTGCTCTTTTTAGGGGCCTTGAGGATTATATATCCAGATCCAACCAGGTAGTTCTCAGATTCAGGGATAACAATGCAATCAGAAGTTATTAAGTAGACTTTGTTTGAAAATATGTACATTGGAAGAACATTTAAGTTTATCTGAATGGTCATTCCATAGCTTAGTAGATATTTTATGTTATGGTAGGGCCTACATAGTAATTGAATTGATTAGGTTGGTTTGAGTGATTGATTGATTGACTGACTGGTTGACTGTTCTGTTGGTTGACCCACAGATCACACCATTTGTTGGCCATGTGGTGTTTATAGTTTATAATGATTATGGTGACAACAGATTACGATTTGATTGATTGATTGGTTCTGTGATTCTTACATATAGGTCCAAGGTATGTTGTTCAGATCGGAGAGAAAATCATTGATTACAATGAGGACTTCCGTCTGTTCTTGACAACACGGCATCCTAATCCAGAGATTCCCCCAGACGCTGCATCCATTGTGTCTGAGATCAACTTTACTACCACCAGGGCTGGGCTTACAGGACAGGTAAATTATTATTGGAGAGCTCATTTGAGCTGGGTTTTGTTTATATTGTAATCTTTCTGTTTTAAATTTATTTCTATGTTACCATTGATTTCCATTTTGCAGGGCTGCTTGAATAATTACATTATCTTCTGTCGTGGTTTTAGTGAGTGTAAGCTTTTCTTAGGAAGAACCTGTATGTAAATGATAATGGAGAGTACTGTAATTAGCGCTTTGTAACTACAAGAAAAGTTGTTATAAAAGCAGCGTGTCAAAAGTAACAAGTATATGGTAGATAATCTCAGTGATTTGGAAAAGCCAAATGATTTACTTGCCAGCCCAGCATAGCATTGTTATAGTTATATATTTGTAATTATTATTTATTAATGTTGTCTGTTATTAAATTCATTATTGTTTTTTTATTCTTATATATTTTTTTTTCTGTTGCAGCTACTGGCGATGACCATTCAGCATGAGAAACCTGAGCTTGAGGTGCGCAAGACAGAGCTTCTGAAGCAAGAGGAGGATCTGAAGATCCAACTGGCCAAACTGGAGGAGTCTCTACTGGAGGTTGGTATCAAAGTTTATTTTTAACCCTTTATATTCTAACTTATTCCAATAATCTGCACAATATTATGCACGTTTAGTAACCTCTTTGCTACCTCAAATTCGGCCAATAATGGCTTCCCTTAGTATTACTGCATTTTGTCATGTTTTCTTTCTCATTTTTTTATGCCTATACCAGACTTTGGCCCAAGCTGAGGGGAACATTCTGGAGAATAAGAATCTGTTGGATTCTTTGAACAAAACCAAGGAAAGCAGTCAAACAATTTCAAATTCTCTATCAGAATCTGTTGAACTGCAGACATCTCTGGATCAGGTAAACTGTTCTATTATTGTCTTTGGGACTTCTTCAGGAGTTACACTTACGGGAGAGGGTTTTAGTTTTACCAGTATTCTTCTCTCTGTCATTTGGTGTTCCGATAAAAATGAGTTTTCTATTTTAAGTCGTATAGGTTCCATGTTGTTCCACTTTCATATTTTTTTTCCCTTAATTTCAGGAACGTGATGCATTTCTGCCCTTGGCAGAGAATGGTAGCACCCTATTTTTCGTTATCAGTGACCTTGCAAAGCTGAATAACATGTATCGCTTCAGTTTAGGAGCATTCCTGAGAATCTTCTCCCGTGCATTACAGGGAAAGACCGTAAGTATTTTAGTACTATACTCCTCCTATCTTTTCTTTCTGATGCTTCGAACTTGCATTTGTATTATATGGTATTTACCTATATTTGGGTGTGATGATGTCATATCACACAATAGACAAATCACATGTATATGACACAGAAATCTAGTGATAAGGTATACATAGTTTAAGAGTGAAATGGAAATGAGGATGTAGCATGTTCTTATACCTGAGAATAATTCTATTTTTTTAGTGGCATTCTACATAGATAGCAACCATGGCAATTGTCAGTTCATCTATACGTATCTATTGAAATACAAAACTGATTTGTGTAAATTTTAAACACGGGCGACTCCATTGCAATCGGTTTGATGTAAGTGTGAATAATTTGGTGTTGTGATTTTTGCGTAGGATGGAAGCAGTACTGAAATGAGGATCCAACGCCTGATCAAATGCCTTCAAGATCTCGTGTATGAGTATGTGTGTCGCTCTCTGTTTAAGTCCGACAGGCTGATGTTTGCTCTTCATTTGGCGCACGGGATGCATCCAGAGATGTTCCAGGAAAATGTAAGCAACTTCTACTATTATTACCGTTAATAACATTATTATTATTATTATTGGAAGATGAATTTTAAAGCCCATCACACAACCTCATTAGCAGCCAATGCCAATCCATAAATAAGCAACTTGCTTGATGATTTATCAATATGTTTAGACCCCCAATGGTCAGCAGCCTAGCATTTTCTTGGACAAGGCTCTCAGAGAATATATTTGTTGCCTGACTGTTGACCAGTATGCATCAGTGACCAAAACAAAAAGTTATGAGTAAAAGTGTTACGGCTTCTCTGTACAAGAGTATACAATACTGCTACATTCTTATGCTAATTACTTAGTTTACCATTTAGTTATAGTACGCTGAGTCTATTTCGTGGATACTTACCTGGATAAACCGACTTATTGCCATTGTTCCCAAACTGAACACCCCTTCGAAATAAATGGAACAGTCCGACCCAGGGCACCATGTACAAACCGTCTCCCTAACAAACGTCCTCATTCCCTTTTCGACGTCCGTTGAAAGTGAACCTGCTAAATCATAGAGTAGTACCACGTGTTCGTGTTCGCTACTGCAATAAGGATTTCCAGCCTTGGATTTTATTTTCAAGAAGTTGTTCGATTCTGGATTTTACTTTTCTGCCTTGGATTTTATTTTCAAGAAGTTGCTGGATTCTAGAATTTTATTTTTCTGCCTTTTGTTTTCAAGAAGTTGATTATTTGACATATCCTTTTTTTTATAGCTGTTGGTGGTCTCTTCGCTATGTCCGCGCGTAAAAGTGGTTGTGGGGGCCCCAAACTGAGTGTCAAGCTCGATCGACACATGGAGTGCCCTTTGTGTCGTGCATCTACAAAGCGGAGACTTGCGAGGTACGCTGATTTTGAAATGGCAAGCCTCATACATTGTGCAGCAGTTTTCAAATTTGCTACGTATATGCATGACTAGTTTTGTTATTTAACTATTATTATTACAGGAATGGGAGGCATTCATTGGTCAGATTGTGTCAGACATCAAAGCTGATGGACACAGAGAGAAGGATTCCTTCCCGAACTGGATTGATCAGGACAGGTATCAAGATGTCAATGTCATCAAGGTCAGTAGAAGTTGTAATCATTCCTAAAAAATAGCTGTAGTCCCTTGTGTTCATGTAGTAATTAAAAATGAGCCCACATTAATCCTTGTGTATTTGCTGAAACAAAAACATCCAGCTGGCAGAAGCATGTGCTTCCTGTTCAATAACTCTTTGTCTATCTCTGCTGAGATTATTAAAGTTGGTACTAGAACCTGGATAAGGCAAATATTTCAATTATTTCTCAACTAGAACACCCCTAAAAATAATAGAACCATCCATTTCGGGACCACTCATTCATTCTAGCCACCATGTATGTGTTTTTCATTATTAAATTAATTAAGGTAGGTACAATCATTATACTTAATGAACTTTTTTATTATTTTTTATAAAACACTTAAAATTATTTTTTAAATTAGGTAATCTTACTTATTTTTTTCTTTACTCAATTTACTGTACTAATCTGTAAGTCTTCTGTTTCATTAAAATTTCTTTTATTCAATTCACAGAGTAACTTTACTGCTCTGTATCAGTCGTTGAGCTTTGGAGACAGTGGGTTGTGGTCTGGCTTCTCCAGGAGTTCACAGTGCGAGATGGAATTTCCAAATGCTCTTCAGAAGAAAGTTTCTCCATTCCAACAGGTAAGCTTTTATTTATTTTATTTTATTTTATTTCAATTACATCCAACAGCGGAATCGTCCATTACAGGATGTCTTAAACATAAAATATATAAAAATATAGTAAAATATAAATAGTAACATACAAAGGTAGCAAATCGACAGTATTTGCTACCTTTGTTACATTGAGATAATATTTTTACTAAAATGAATTGAAACTTAATTTAAGGTCAAATTTTCAATGGATTGCCCTTCCACCTGTATATCAAATATTCACAAATATGAGATCAAACTTGCACCACAATGAGTTAAAAAATTCACTCATGAGATCAAACTTCTACTATTGGGATATGAATGTTCACTAACATGAGATTAAGAAATCAGTAAACAGTTGTTAAGCATTTTATTTTACAAAAACATGTGACATGCCTAAATATGGTCATGATGACATCACATGACCATATATAGGCACATCATGACTATATATGGGCATACAACAGTTTTTTCAAAGAAATTTGATAATCTGGAGAGACTAGCTTTATAGAGAATATGCTATTTTTTTTTGCATTGCAGTTACTTGTTATTCAAACTGTTCGGCCTGATCGTCTACAGAGCGCCATGGGTGTGTTTGCCTGTAAAGCTCTAGGTAAGTTAATCTGTAATATTTTATATTTATTAATTATTTCATCGTTATTACCATTACTACCATTATCATAATTACCAACCACACCTCATCATCACTATCATCATATACCTAAGCTCCAGTGGTGTATCTAGGAGTCTTCAATTGGAGGGGGCTGATGGGGGCGCAAAGGTGATGAAGTGGGGCCTCGCTGATTAGGTGAGGGGGCGCCAGCTCACAAAATAAGGTGATTTGAGGTGCTTTTTAACTACTTAGCATGATTTTTTGCTTAAATATTCAATGGAGGGGCGACTGGGGAGGGTACGAATATTAGGGTGTTTGTGTGCCCCCACGCACCCCTAAATGCGCCACTGCTAAGCTCACTAGATGTGGCACTGGTCATAAATATTTATTCCAATTGTTAATTATAGGTATGAAGGAGCTGTCTCCACCATCATTAAACCTGAAGCGTCTGTATCCAGAGACAGTGTCATCGGAACCAATACTCATCATCATCTCCCCTGGTGCAGATGCCTCGGAAGAGCTTCAAGAACTTGCTGATGAGATCATAGGCACTGACAAGTACCACCAGGTACGTAGAGGGCGGTATTGGCCTCATGGCTCAATAGGTAGAGCAATTGAAATATGGTGTTGGGTCCAAATTTTTTATTAACTTCTTTATCATTACTATTTTAGAAATAGGATTACATGGATTTTATTATTTTATTTAGTTGAATTTTGTGCTCAAGAATTTGTGTAATTGTTTCATAATTGTTTGATTTTACTGTTGCATCTCAGGTTGCCATGGGACAGGGGCAGGCCGATATTGCTATGCAGTTACTTCATGAATGTGCCAGGAATGGAGAGTGGCTTTGTCTTAAAAATCTCCACCTTGTTACTGCTTGGCTCCCAGTCTTGGAAAAGGTAAGTGTAGTTTTTCGCATACTTTGTCATTTAATATCATCATTTTATTAAAAACATCTGCACATCAAACTTCATCATAATCATCAGTAATAACAAGCATCATTACCATCAACATAGTCATCGTAATCATAACATTATGATCTTTATCAGCATAATCATCATTATGATCTACTTACGATTATGATCATTTCATTGATAACATCATCACCCTCATGTTAAACACTATCAATTAAATCGGCATTATCTTTATCTTTGTTATTTCATTAAATTCAATAGTTGTCATCATCATCATCATCATTATCATTGTGATCATCATCATTATCATTTTGATCATCATCATTGATCACCATAATCATCAAGATCACACTGAACACTTTTCTCATCAACTATAATCATTGTCATTATTACATTGAATATGACGATCAATCAGCCATTGGCATCATTCTACCAATCACTGTAATCATAGCCGTGACATCATCACCATCAGCATATTGTATTTAACATCACTATCATCAGTGCCATCGCTGTCACTATCATCATCATAGTCACTACCAAAGTTATCATGTTACTGACTTAATGTCTTCACAGCAAACACTAATTTTTGTTTTACCTCCATAGGAGCTGAACTCTCTTGTAACCCATGACAGCTTCAGGTTGTGGCTGACTGCTGAGAGCCACCCCAAGTTCCCAACCATCCTGTTGCAGTCCAGTCTGAAAGTGACCTATGAGGTAACAGAATACAGTAAACCAATTTGTATTATCTCCACCTAGTTTTTAGGGAATGACTTCCCATATATGGGGCTGGGGAGTAAAAAAATCCTGGTTTTGACTGGATTTAAACACTGGGTTTTGATGACAAGCGCATTAAACATAAAGTCACAGTTCTATTTAAAATGTATTATTATTATGAATTTATTTCTTTGCAAGATAATCTGACACCCCTCAAAAAAAAATGGAAGTGTCCTTACATAACATATGCTCTTCACCACATAGTCTTTCATTGTACTCTTTGCGTTCGGAATAACTAAATATTTAGATATAAATAATTAGTTATTTATTGTGTTTTTTAAAATGTATATTTTGTTTTTCTAGGCACCACCAGGCATCAAAAAGAACCTCCAGCGTAGCTACGATTCCTGGTCAACAGACTTCGTCAGCAAGAATAACAATGTCATTCGTGCACAAGCTCTTTTTGCTCTGGCATGGTTCCACGCTGTCTGTCAGGAGAGAAGAAACTTCATTCCACAAGGATGGACAAAGTTCTATGAATTCTCCATGTCAGACCTCAGAGCTGGGGCTGACATCATAGACAGAATCTGCTCGAAGTCTTGTAAGTTGTTTATCAGATGCTTTGCTCATTGCAACTTATCGCATTGTAGAAGCGTGTGGTGCAAATGTAAGGCGTCAGGCTTACAATCGGATGGTTGGGGGTTCGAGACCGATGCTCATCACACTGCGTGTGTCTTCGGGCAAGACACTTTATCTGCATTTGCCTCTCTTCACACAGAAGTATAAATGGGTACCTGGTAGGAGGTAAATGATTCGGAATGAAATTAGTAGTGCTGATTACACGCATAACTAGGAATATGTTCCAGGGAGTGGAGGAGGTTGCATGTTGTGTATGATTGATTCTCTATTCAATGACCAGGTTAAAGGGGTCTTGAGCAGTTTTCTGGATATGTGCACTATACATTTAAGAAAATGAAAATATAATTGTGGACCAATCAAAGACTTTCTTTCTCCAGTTTGAATTTTACAGTATTGACTATTTAACAATGTTTCTATTGTAATGTGTTTAGATGCTGTCTCTTATACACATCTGTATAATAATAACCTACTGATTTTGGAATCTTTGGAAGCTATTTTCTCAAAACCTAAATGGCTGTGATATCCAATGAATTAAAATATTTACAACTTCGCTAAAATACTCAACCAATTTCCATCAAATAAACACTTTTTTAAAGAAAACTTCATACAGAATTTAAAAACACCAAAAACTCAATTTTGAATTTTCCTATAAACGGCTGGTTTTGCCAGAGCTGTGACAAATGAACTGGCTAATATTATCCCCTTGACC